CAAATGCAAATGCTGGAGAGGCTGTGGAGAAAAGGGAACCCTCCTACTCTGCTGGTGGGAATGTAGTTTGGTGCAGTCATTATGGAAAGCAGTATGGAGATTTCTCAAAAAATTAAAAATAGACTTACCACATGATCCAGCAATCCCATTTCTGAGTATATATCCAGAAGGAATTCTAATTTGAAAAGATGCATGCACCCCAGTATTCATAGCAGACATGGGAGCAACCTAAATGTCCATCAACAGAGGACTGGATATAGAAGTTGTGGTACATTTATACAATGGAATACTGCTCAGCCATAAAAAGGATAAAATAATGCCATTTGTAGCAACATGGATGGACCTGGAGAATGTCATTCTAAGTGAAGTAAGCCAGAAAGAGAAAGAAAAATACCATATGATATCGCTCATATGTGGAATCTAAAAATAGGGTAGGGGGACAGAAAAGACACTATAAACCCATCTACAAAACAGAAACAGACTTGCAGACATAGTAAACAGTCTTATGGTTCCTGGGGAAAGGGGGTGGGAAGGGATAAATTTGGGAATTTAAGATTTACAAGTGTTAGCCACTATCCATAAAAACAGATTTTAAAGAAATTTCTTCTGTATAGCACAGGGAACTATACAGTTCAATATCTTTGAATAACCTTTAATGAAAAAGAATATGAAAACAAATATATGTATGTATATGAATGACTAGGACATTGTGCTGCACACCAGAAATTGACACATTGTAACTGACTGTACTTCAATAAAAAATAAATAAAAATAAAAGAGGGACTAGAAATGTTAAAAGGATAATAATTACTATAAGATGTCAGGTAAAACAGTAGCATACATACGAGATACTATAGGAGAATCAGTAATATGCTCTGAACCAAGATATGGAAGAAGAACATTCTGAGAAGCTTTCTCAGAGGACCTAAGTGTCAGGGCTGACTCCAAAAAGATGAACAAGAAGATACAGAAAGAAGGAGAGATCATTCTAGGGAGATGTCTCTGCAAGACCAAAGGCATGGAGATGAGAGCAGTTCGCTACAAGCAGAAAACTGTAAGAAGTAGGGTATCACGGAAGCTTAAAGTATGAGGCTAAATGACTATAACTCAATAAAAAAAAAAGTTTAAAAAAAAGTATGAGGCTGAGGGAAATGGGAGATGAAGTGAGACAGGCAAGCAAGGCCGAGAGGTTGGAGAGCCCTTCGTGTTTTGTCAAGGAGCTTGGCCTGTGCCCTGTAGGCTCTGGGGAGCCACTAGAGGGTTTAAGGAAATGAGTGGATTTGCATTCGATAGATCACTTTAAACAGAAAGGGGTCCATGTCTCTCTGGCTTACTGTTGTGATTTTGGTAGGACATAGCAGGTCCTCAGCAGGTCCTCCAACTCTGATGACACACTACAAACATTCAGTATGAACGGCGGCCATCAATCACCCTCGCAGGTGACATGCTCCTTTGATAATCCAGCAGGGCTGTTTGCTCTTCTCTCGGTCCTCACGTTCAGCCTAAGTCTCCAGCAATGCACCCTACTTATCAGCTCTGCGGTCTTCAGAGCAATTCCGTCTTGTTCCCTTGGGTTTTAACAGCAATGATAAAGGTATCCAGCTCATTGTTTTCCTACCATCTCTTTTCCTCCTCTGACAAATGCTATCACTGAAACGGGATGGAGAATTTCCTGATGTCTTCTGTTCGTCTTGTTGAGGCCCCTCCAGAGCATTTCAGCGTTAAGTGGTGTTGGTGGGGCTCCAAGAGATCAAAACTATTTTTATAATACTAAGCTCTTCCCTTCCTTATTCTCTTCTGAGTATAGGACAGAGCTTTCCAGAGGCTACATGATGTGTGATAATGCAAGAGACTGAATGCAGAAGCAGATACGAAAATCCAGCTGTTTTGCATTGTCAGATACTAAAGAGATTTGCAAAAATGTAAGCCAATCACCACTTTTTCAGGGTTCTTTTGCTTTCAAAATTGTAGTCATTTTCCATCAAAACGTTCATTTATGTTAACATGTAATAAATTTATTGTTATTCCCTTGAAATTAATATTTATATATTTCTCAGTTTTAGTTTTTAATATGATATATATATATATATATATATATATATGTATTTATATATATAGCTGAAATAAATGAAAGCTCTTTAGGGCCTTCAATAATTTTTTGAGAGTGTAAAGCAACCCTGAGACCAAAAAGTTTGAGAACCGCTGATCTAAGCCAATGTCCTGCAGACATTCCCAGCCTCTTACTGTAACAAGTCCTGGATCATCAGTCTGGCTTTAGCTGTGGTTATATTAGGCAAGATTGAATCAACAAAAATAGGGCTTACGGAAAGAAATAAATTAAAGAATATATGGCTTACACTTGCTTCTCAAAGAAGATTGGGCATATATTTTTCCTGTCTCTACAAACAGTATCATGGTTCATGATTCCATTTTACATTCATGATTTTATTTAATCCTCACAACTCTGAGGTAAATAGAAAGGCATTATCTTTCCAATTTTATCAGTGAGGAAACTGACCTAGGGAAATTCATGGTGGATCCATGGCCACCAGTCCAACTGGCCGGACCGGGGTGGAAACATTGAGTCTGTGACTCCCTAGGTAATGTGCTTTCCATGTAGCAGAAGGAAGTAATTGTATCTAAAATACTCCCTAAATAAACTTCAAATAAGAGTATTTTATAGCTCCACGGTTCTTTATCAATGTTATTTTCTGGCATTTTTATCCTTCAAAAAAGTCAAGATCATCATCTCTCTAAAACCTTTTTCACCAAACCTGAAAGTATCTTAAGAGATGCTAATTATCTGGAAGTATCTTTATCCTTCAAGGGTTACAAAAAAAGTCTGATGTCCATTCTTTCTTTGCATTAACTAAAAGTAACTATGATCTAATTTGGGTTAGAAGCAAATATGTATCTTCTGAGACAGAACTAAATGGCAAGCTTATATATTAGATGAAAAGATTGTCTTAGACAAGCCTATATATGGTCTCTTTAACACAGCAAACTGATAGCAGTTATTTAACTTATAAGAACCAAGTAGGTTTTTAAATTAAAAAGACAGATTTTGCAATCATTTCCTAAGATCAAACATTAGTGGTTTTGTGATTAACTGATAATCTTATTTTTTTCTCTAATGCTCTACAGAGTTTGATGGATTGTTCCCCATAATTTGATTAATTTCTTAAATTGATGATTAAGTGATGCCCAACAGTTCTATTTCAGCCTGAGATTAACAGCATGCCAACTTCTAATTTAAGGAATCAATTAAAAATGGAATATATGCATGCATATGCATGACTGGGACATTGTGCTGTACACCAGAGATTGACACATTATAACTGACTGTACTTCAATTAAAATAAATATTTTTTAAATGGTATACAAGTGCAAACTTTCTTTTTGCTGACGCTGGTGGTTGGGTTTTAAGCAGACAAGGGGATCTTAGTTTAGTTTGAGGGTAGCTAAATGAGAGATTCAAATCATGAAAACAGATTCTATTATTTCTATATGAACAAGAATACCAACAAATTGAAGAAACTAAACCAGGTAATTAGGACCAGGAGAATCTTTAACATAGATAAATGGCATGGTTGTCATAAAGGCTTCAAATACTCCTAAACATAAAAGAATTTTAATATTTATTAATGAATAATCAATCACTTTTAAAATGTCAATGCCTTGGACTAACATGGGGCTTTTTTGACGTCTCCAAATAAATGTCAAACATTTGAAGTGTGAATTTCCAACTTTTGTATTTGAAAAAATTCAGCTGGCATTAGTTGTTTTGTTATTCTAACTACAATTATGGAACTAGGCAGGAGCTGGATTTGAGGGCTGGAATGGAGAGTGAGATAGGAATTTTTCTTTTGAAACTACTTTCTCAAATTTGACTAGAGTAATCCCAAACCATCCTCATAATGATTAAAATGAAAGAATTTTCCAAATGTTGGCACTTTGGAGCTGTTTTTATAACAGAATGATGGAACACTGTGCCTGCCAAGAGCAAAACAAGAGTGGGAAGGGAGAAACCCCTCCATCTCTTAATGAGGTACCCTTAGATCACAAGGGAATGGCAGGTCAACGGCAACCTGCACTCTCTCCCAACCAAGTCAGTTTAGCAGTAATTTAGTTTCAGCAAGAACAATCATAAATTCCCCTCTTCAAAAGGCCAACCACCAGAGTCCCAGGTTGAGCCATCTGATCACTCTTTCCATAGGCTCCCATAAAGGAAGACCCTTCACCTTGGTATTTTCAGGCATTACTGAAGTTATTAAACTTAAACATTTTTTAAAAGTTATCATCCATGTAAAAGTAAATTAATGGCACCCTAGTCCACAGACTGAAAAGCGAATTTAGAAAAGACGCACTATCCAAAAAGGGTTGGAAATTCTTCTTCAAACCAAGCTTCATTTTTACACCTATGCATCAGTGCATATTTTTGGCACACTGTCTTATCACTCCATACTAGAAATGTGTAGGGTATGCTTTTAAGTTATTCACTAGTATGCATAAATACTAATCAAATGGATTATTTCTTTTAAGATTAGACAATTTCAATGTGTCACATAAATCTTGGCCAAGTAAATATCTTCAGACATTTGCAGCAGATTCTGCCCCAGAGGTTAAGGCTTTGGGGGCTCTATTTTCTGGGGGTGTAGCAGCATCTGCTAACTATCAAGAAGCAAGGGAATGCATTTCATGATGGCTGCTTCCTGGAAAGATAAATAGAAACTTAATTTTTCAACATCCATTCCCTTTAAACCTTAAATTAATAGTGCTTTCACAACTGATAATCTAGTTTTACAATGATAACCCAGAGGTGGGGGAAATATATTTTTCTTTCAGCCACTTAAAAGTAGACAATCGCCCTGTTACTAGGTCTTTCAGTGGTGGAATACATTACATATTTTTTCAGTGTACTCCCAAGGCAAAACTGATTTAAGGAAACTTGAAATGGCCACATCTTTTCAAACATGTCTGATTCCTAAGTAATCTAAGTACTGTTTTACAGCATTTTTAGATACAACCAAAACTGTTGGTTTTGTTACTTTCAGAATCAAACCAAATAAAGTTTCTCCCATCTAAAAGTCTTAGCTCAGTATCAAACTAGTAAGAAGTTGTTTTTGGTGGCCTCTCTCCTGGGGCAACTGCAGGAACGTAATCAAGCATTTAGCATGTGGTCATCCAGCCTGCAGACTTTTGGTTCAGTGCATTATTAAATATTAGTATACTGAAATTATTAGTAGTGATTATTAGTAGTGATTAGTATCAATGTATCAATGCCATTATTAATATAGTAAATGTGAGATGTTGATCAAATTTTAATATAATATTGATAAAGTATTTTATGCATATGTTGATGTTAATATATTGATAGTGATTATCAATTGCTATATTAATCAAATATTAATATGATAATATATTTATTTTAGTTTAATAATATCTAACAATTAATTGAGTTTTACTATCTATGCCAGTGCTTGTGTTAAAATCTTTTTATGGATTATCCAATTTAGTTCTTATAATAGTACTATAAGTACTCTTATTGTATCTTCATTTTAATTCTAATAACTATTTTGAAATGACTTCTCACTTAATGAAAACTTACAAAAATGCTACAAAAAACATTTCTATACCCTTCACTTGGATTTGCCAATTAACATTTTGCCACATTTGCTTTACCTTTCTCTCTCTCTTTCTATAGCTTTGTCTCTGTCCCTTTTCACACACATATGCATACATATTCTGAACAACTTGGGTAAGCTGCATACGTCGTGCCCATCATCACCCTGAAACCAAAATCAGACAAAGACACTACAAAAAAGAAAATTACAGGCCAATATCTTTGATGAATATAGATGCAAAAATTCTCAACAAAATCCAACAATACATAGAAAAGAAAACAGACTATGACCAAGTCAAATTCATCCCAGGGACACAAGGGTGGTTCAATATATGCAAATCAATCAATGTCATACATCACATCAACAAAAAAAGAATGAAAACCACATGATCATCTCAGTAGATACAGAAAAGTCCTTTGATAAAATTCAACATTCATTCATTATTTAAAAAACCTCTCACCAAAGTGGGTACAGAGGGAACACATTTTAACATAATAAAAGCTATTTATGACAAACCCACAGCCAACATAATACTCAATGGTGAAAAGTTGAAAGTCTTCCCACTAAAACTTGGAACAAGACAAGGATGCCCACTCTCACCACTTCAATTCAGCATAATATTGGAAGTCTTAGCCATACCAATCAGAAAAGAAAAATAAATAAACAAGATCCAAATTGGAAGTGTAGAGGTAAAATTGTCACTATATGCAGATGACATAGTACTATGTATAGAAAACCCTAAAGTCATCACACAAAAACTACTAGAGCTGATAGACAAATTCAGCAAGGTAGCAGGACACAAGATTAACGCAGAAATCTCTTACATTTCTTTATAGTAACAATGAAATATCAGAAAAGGAAAGTTTAAAAATACTTTTTTAAATCACATAGGAAAAAATAAAATACCCAGGAATAAATCTGACCAAAGAGGTGAAAGACTTATACCCTGAGAACTATAAAACACTGACGAAGGAAATTAAAGAGAATTTAAAGAAATGGAAAAATATTGAATGCTCTTGTATTGGAAGATTTAATATTGCTAAAATGGCCATACTACCCAGAACAATCTGTAGATTTAATGTGTTCCCTGTCAAATTACCCTTGACAGTTTTCACAGAACTAGAACAAATAATCCAAAAATTAATATGAAATCACAAAAGACCCAGAATTGCCAAAGCAATACTGAAGGGAAAAAAACAAAGCTGGAGGAACAACTCTCCCAGATTTCAGACAATACTACAAAGCTACAGTAGTCAAAACAGCATGATATTGGCACAAAAACAGACATATAGATAAATGAAACAGAATAGAGTGCCCAGAAGTAAACCCACAACCTATGGTCAATTAATCTTTGACAAAGGGGACAAGAATATACAATGGAGAAAAGACAGTCTCTTCAATAAGTGGTGCTGGGAAAGCTGGACGGCTGTACATAAAACAATAAAGTTAGAACATTCCCTCACATCCTACACAAAAATAAACCCCAAATGGCTTAAAGACTTAAATATAAGACAGGACACAAAAATCTCCTAGAAGAGAACATAGGCAAAATATTCTCTGACATAAATTGTAGCAATGTTTTCCTAGGGCCGTCAACCAAGGCAACAAAAGTAAAAGCAAAAATAAACAAATGGGACCTGATTAAACTTATAAGCTTTTGCACAACAAAGAAAACCATAAACAAAATGAAAAGACAACCTACAGAATGGGAGAAAATATTTGCAAAAGATGCAACTGACTTCTTAACTTCTAGAATATACAAACAACTCACACAAGTCAATAGCAAAAAATAAACAACCCAATCAAAAAAATGCGCAGAAGACCTAAACAACCAATTCTCCAATGAAGACATACAGATGGCCAGTAAGCACATGTAAAAGATGCTCAATATCGCTAATTATCAGAGAAATGCAAATCAAAACTACAATGAGCTATCTCCTCACACTACTCAGAATGGCTATTATTAAAAAGTCCATAAATGATAAATGTTGGAGAGGGTGTGGAGAAAAAGGAATCCTCCCACACTGTTGGTGGGAATGTATTTTGGTACAGTCACTATACAAAATAGTATGGAAAGTCCTTAAAAAACTAAAAACAGAGTTACCATATGATCCAGCAATCCCACTCCTGGGCATATATCCAGAGAAAACTCTAATTCAAAAAGGCACATGCACGCCATTGTTCACAGCAGCACTATTTACAATAGTCAAGACATAGAAGCAAACTAAATGTCCATCAACTGATGACTGGATAAAGAAGTTGTGGTGTATATACACACACACACACACACACACACACACACACACACAATGGAATACTACTCTGCCATAAAAAATGAAATAATGCCATTTGCCCCAACATGGACAGACCTAGAGATTATTATATTAAGTGAAGTAAGTCAGACAAAGACAAATATCATATGATATCATTTACATGTGGAATCTGAAAAAATGATATAAATGAACTTAATTACAAAACGGAAAGAGACTCACAGATATAGAAAACAAATTTATGGTTATCAAAGAGGAACGCAAAGGGGAAGGATAAATTAGGAGTCTGGGATTAGCAGCTACAAACTATTCTATATATAAAATAGATGAACAACAAGGTCCTGCTGTATAGCACAGGAAATACATTCCAACAGCTTGTAATAACCTATAATGAAAAGGAATATATATACATACATATATACATATATATATATATGACTGAATCACTATGGTGTACACCAGAAACTAGCACAACATTGTAAATCAACTATATTTCAATAAACATTTTTTAAAAAACACAAAGTTACTTCAGTTAATTCTTCTTTACCATCTGAGTGGTTATATTAATTCATTGAAAGTTCCGTTCATCTACTTTGGTTTGTATTCCATTTTAAAGTTTTCCTCCTACTACATTCTTGTTGATTTAAGTTATTTCACAGTGAAAAAACATTAGCATTACGTCAAAAGTCAAAACTACCCAAGAGAATATACTCAGAGAAATTGTCATTCACTTTCCTATACTTTCAACCCTGTTTCCATCCACTCCCTGTAGGCAATCTATCTTGTTAGTTTCTGATTTATCCTTTTTGCAATGTACATCTTCTTAGTACCTCTGTTTCTGACACCAACATGGTGTCCTTTGCCCTTTGCTTTTTTCACAGGAAATTGCTTCATTGGTTTATGAAATTATTTAGCCTTCTTTCTTAAAGTTGCATGGTTCTTCTTGATATAAATGTTTCATAGTTTATTCAATAAAAATTTCCTATAGTTGACGATTTAGGTTATTTCCAATATTTTCCCATTGTGAATAATGTTGCAATGAGTAATCTTGTGCATATACATTTAATGTTATTAAGATACACCTTCAGAGTAAATTCTTTGCAGTGGGATTACTGGATCAAAATGTAAACATATAGGTAGTCTATTTAGGAAATGCCAAAGTCCCCCTAAAGGTGTGTGCCATTTTGCACCTTCACCTGCAACACCTGAGAGTGTCTGTTTGTCCCCTGCCTCACTGACAAGGTGTATTGTCAAGCCTTAAGCTTTTTGCCATTAATTTGCATTTATCTTATGAGTGAAGTAGAATGGTTTTCACTTAATGGCCATTTTTATGTTGTTTCTGCTGACTTAGCCTTCATATTTTCCCCTATTTTTCTATCATCCCTCTTTAACATTTGAGGCTATAGACTCAAGAAAGAGAAGTAACCCAGGGCCATAAATGTAGGAATCGCCGAAGCTGAAGTTGGATATTGACTATAGAAGGAGAACACTGCACAAATTATTTTTGTTGTTGTTTCTGGAGCTTTAGATTAACTTTCTGCCACAGTAAACATACATTACTTTGATAATGAAAAGTAAAAAGAAACTAAAGCTAGCACAACCACTCTAAACCTATGGGACACAGCAAAGGCAGTGCTAAGAGGGAAGTTTATAGCGATACAGGCCTTCCTCAAAAAGAAGAACAATCTCAAAT